ATAATTTATAGAGATACTCAAACCGATTATTTATGATTTAAAACGAATCTCACGAAAGAAAAAAATCAAGGAATACATAAATTAAAATGAAAATACTTGTAAATATCATTGGAAGCATTGATTAACATACACATTGAAGAAGATATTTTTTTAACAAGCAAAAAATATAATTGTATAGAAAAACATATGGTGTTTCATGATGGTAATTATCAGAATGCAAAGAAGTTTTCTTTACTTGTTCTAGATAAATATGTTGAGATCCCATTGTAAGTATATAAAAGAAAGGAGATTTTTCTAAAGAGTTTATATTATCGATTATAGTACAGCGTTTTTTTAAATAAACTGAATGACAAATATAAGCATTTTACAATTGACTTCATTCGGTCTTCTTAACTAATAATATATTTTTTAAACATTAGATAAATGCAAAAATAATTTTGCTATTCTATCGTATTGCTAAATAAAATCGATTTCCACTTATTAAACGGAAACTCTTTTTTACTTTAGATGACATTTATGTTTGAAGTGTAAATATCAACTTTTATTGAAAATATTAGAAGCATAGTTGAATTTAGTAATAGACTATTCCTTTAGTTGATTTTAAATAATTTCCCTGAACTCGGATTTGAAAGAAACTGAATATGTTTAAATTAAATTTACAATTTGCATAATATTGTAAAACTTTTTGTCACTTAAATCAACGTTGATCATTATTTATTCGAGCATTGAAATATGCAAGTAAAAATACTACTTTCATTATATTTATGATATTTGTCTGTTTTGAAAAATTCCAAATTATTCAAGTTTAATACATATAATGTCAATGTTTTTTTTAAATCTGATTTCTGATAGTCTTTAATGCGATGTGAAGCAAAAGTTAGGCGTTACTTTTCTCTAACAACTATTTTACAGCTGATAATATGAGTAGTGATACTAGATATACATATAAGCTAACTACCTTTATATCCGAAGGATGTCAGTAATTAGAATATATATGATACACCCACACCCTAATCCTAGAATTTCAGATGTATTCAAATAAATGAATTCCATTGCCTAATATTTTGTAACACAAATTTTATTTCATTTTCTAAAATTAAGTCATAATTTATTTTAATAATTGATTCAAACCATTCAAAAATACTGATTATTATATGTTTTTTGTTCACAAATATCACGGACAGTAAGCTTAACATAAATATAATCTCATGATAAAATACAAATATACTTTATACAATGCACACATAGAAGATATTGTCAAAATAAAAAACATACACTGATGTACAATTCAATGTGTGATTATAATAATAATTCGATAAAAAAATTAGTTTGAATTCTACAGTCATATTTAGTGAAGAGAATGGTCATTTGTAAATAAATTGCATTCTCTTTATTGCTTTAATCTAAGCAGAAAAAGTTGGTTACATATAATAATTTTGTATAGTTAAGTTATTCATTGCACATGATATATTTTTTCGCTTAGTATTAAACATAAATACAGGTGTTACATACAAAGGAGATGTATAGTTATAGAAGTACATTAAATTTTTATTATTGCTATTCATAAAATCTGAAAGTATATTTTACAGATAATTTCACAGATTATAAACAATTAAGTTTTTTATGCAAATGCTTCATAACATAAAATTTGAAAATGAACACGATCGACTTGTTTTCTGTATTATTGGTGTCTTCAAAATAAATAAATAAAAGTATTATAATTTAATTTTTTATTTTCAAATTGGATGATATTGAAATGCCTTTAATAGATTTTTCTCATCTATATGCAGATACTTACTAATGCTTTTTCTAAAACGAACAATTATTTCTGAAACTGACAAGTAAAAATAAATATGTGAATGTCTATCACAGAAGATTGTAACATAATTAAAAATATGTAAAGCTTTATAAAAGTTTATACCTGATCATTATCCAGAGGCAAGTAGGTGAGAATAGCCAATCAGATAATTGTATCAAAGTTATTTTATTTCAGGCATCTCATTAATACGGATATAAATAATACGTAAAGGAACATTTATGAATTCTATTCATGTTAAAGATACATCAATACTAAATTTTTTTTGATTTACCTGAATTTTTATATTTGTTGATCTTTTATATGTTTGATAACATTATATAAGTTATAGAACATGTATACGCGTCATCTTTGACTTATGAAAAGAAAAAGAAGATAAAGAACAATCGAGGATGTGTGTATGTGTGACTGCAGATGTTCATAAGGAACAGATTGTTACTGACTTCAACACCCTTATCTATCTATCCACACCAACAACCATCAAACTCACTCTCATACCTATTCTATAAAAATGGAGGCTGTATACAATAGATATGATAATATAGATGCTGAGACGTGTTTTAGTAAAGCCAGTAGTTGCGTGCGAGACATGGAATGGTGTTTCAGTGGCGAGGATGACCATGATGGTGAGTGCAGTGTTAAATTACTGAAGATTGTTATGTCGTCACTATAGACGAAGTGACTCGTTTTGTAAATACCCGCACAACTTGCAAGTTCCATAGAAAAGAGTCGTTTTTTTGCTAAAACTCAGTTTGCAATAAAAAAGACCATAGATTATATTTGACCATAAAAAATAATATAAGTGTTTTATGTTTGAATGCATTGTCTTGTCAATTTTTACGAACTATAATATATACGACAATAAAATAATTTCCAACTTATAAATCTGCAACAACATCAAAAATGAGAGCAGAACGAAGAAATTCTTCGGAGATTCTTTTTATCTTCATCAAATACTTCGTAAAGTTTCTTCGCGGATTATTTCAGGGGCTAACAATCATAAAAATACTTAACCACTCTTTTTGCGTTCTTTGTTTATTATTAATAAATATCTATGTTGATCTTCCTTGTTTTTCATAACAACATCCATAATTGTTAACAAAAGAAGTATTGTCGTCCAATTGAAAACAATAGAAAAACAAATCTCGATAGGAAGTAGAGACACTATAAAATGAGCAACTTTCATAATTCTTTCATTCATAAATTTTAGCAAAGCAAGTTAAGTACAACACATTTATATTACAAATAAAAAATAATCACAGTCAATGGCAACCAGCAAATCAAGTGACACAAAAAAAATCGAGCAAACATCTGGTCTCTCGACAAGTACAACTGTGAATCGACATATGAACATGCAAAGAATGCAAAATGTCCTGCTTATTTGGTTGGACAACAATATTAATGAAAATAAGGCTGATTGTAGTAATACAATCAAACAACTGAAACGTGTAGTTAACAACGTAAACACGTTTACAGATGGCGACCAGTGTGTTGAATTTCTTCAAACTATTAACAACAACAAAGTATGTATGATTGTCTCTGGTTCACTTGGGAAACATATTGTGCCTTGTGTGCATGATATGTCCCAAGTTGACACCATTTTTATTTTTTGTAACAATCAAGAATGGCATAAACAATGGGCCAAACAATGGCCTAAAATAAAAGGAGTCTTCACAGATATGACATTAATCTGTGATGCTCTCAAGCTAGTTGCTCACCAATGTGAGCAAAATGCCATCTCAATCAGCTTTGTGGCATCTAACAAGAAATTGGATCAATTAGATCCATCATTTATGTATACTCAGATCTTGAAAGAGATCTTATTAGCCACCAAATTCGAAGACAAACATTTCACAGAATTTATAACTTATTGTCGTCAGTTATGTGAAGGTGATGAAAATGAATTAAAAAATGTTAATCAACTACAAACAACATACAAAAACAACATACCCATATGGTGGTATACATGGGATGCATTTTTATATCGTATGCTCAATCAAGCATTAAGATCAATGGACGTTGATATTATTATTCGAATGGGTTTCTTTATTAGTGATCTACATCGTGATATTCAACGACTACATTCAGAACAGTTTGATGATCATCAATCAGGTACAACATTTACAGTTTATCGTGGTCAAGGACTTTTGAAAGAAGATTTTACCGAAATGACAAAAACTAAAGGTGGACTTCTTTCATTTAATAACTTTTTATCAACTAGTAAGAATTTTGATGTATCTCTTTCTTTTGCCCGACGAGCTGCTATAAATCTTGATCTTGTTGGAATTCTATTTGTTATGTCAATTAATCCTACTCATGCAACAACTCCATTTGCTTCTGTTAGTAATGTTAGTTATTTTCATACAGAAGATGAAGTTCTCTTTTCTATGCATACCATTTTCCGCATTGGAGATATTGAACCAATGGATGGAAATAATCATCTTTATCAAGTGAACCTAACATTGACCAAAGACAACGATCGAGACCTTCGTACTCTTACTGATAGTATCCGAGAAGAGACCTTTCCAGATGTAGAAGGATGGCACAGATTAGGAACATTGCTAATTAAAATGGGTCAGTTTCACAAGGCTCAAGAAGTTTATGAAATTTTACTTCATCAAACAACGGATGAAGGTGACAAGGTATTTATCTATCATCAACTAGGTGAGATCAAATATAATCAAGGAGAATATCAAGAAGCACTTACATATTGTGAAAAGTCACTTGCTATCGATCAGAAAACACTTTCTTCCAATGATCTTAATTTGACTTATTCCTATAACAACATCGGTTTGGTGTATGACAAAATGGGTGATTATCCAAAAGCACTTTCATCTCATGAAAAAGCTCTTGCAATTCGACAAGAATCACTTCCTTCCAATCATCCTGATTTGGGTGCTTCCTATAGCAACATCGGTCTTGTGTATAGAAAAATGGGTGATTATGGAAAAGCACTTTCATGTAATGAAAAAGCCCTTGCAATTCAACAACAATCACTTCCCTCCAATCATCCTAGTTTGGGTAAGTCCTATAACAACATCGGTATTTTGTATTACAGCATGGGTGACTATTCAAAAGCTCATTCATTTTTTGAACGTGCTGTACAAAATGGACAACAATCATTACCAACAAATCATCCTCATCTTCAAAAATGGAGAAAAAGTCTCGAACGCATAAAAAAGAAACTATAATTTTTTTCTGTATTTTTTTTTGAAGTAAAATAAAACTGATGAAAAAGAAAATGTGTCTATTGAAACTCTGTTCTTATTGAGAACACAATATGAGCAGTCACACTCACCGGTAAGGTAAACAATACATATTGGAAAGATATGTATTCTAGAAAAGACTTTCACGGTTACATTATTATGTCTGAACAAGTAGAGTTTCGTTGTATTAGATAAGAAAGAAAGATACTCAACAGAAACATAGAAGAACAGAAGGAGAGAAAAAGTTTATTTTATCAATAAAATGAATTATTCTTTCTATTCCAATGCTAAAGAATAGTTCATTTGAATGAACTAGAAAAGGTAGAAAAGAAAAATATAGAGAGGAACAATGACAAACATGTAGACTGAAAAAAAGTGAATGTAGCTATGAGAAAGAATCAAATTGAATTTTTTGATTATGATTATAGCTGAATAGATTCTAACTACAAACCATTGTGAAGAAATTTGAGTGTGGGTCTCTCCCTTTATTCTCTGAGACTCACACCCGTTTACTTACATAAAGGCACATAACAAGACATTTTTTGAGAATTTGTCACCATCTTTTTCATATAGATAGATAATAGCAGAGTACAAGTTTCGATAGGTTGGAAAATATGTTTTTTCATGGAGACTTACTTCATGCTCATTCTCAGAAGCGATGATTCGTTTTTCTAGATTATTAATTCTTCGCAATTGAGTAAAACTCAAATACTATCTTGTTATTTATTTGAGTTAGAGTTATGAATGATAGATTTTATCAAACTTTGAGATGTTTAGTATTTCATAATAAAAGAAAGAGAATTCTGTATACTTCTAAACTTTAATTGTTTCAATGCAAGTTTTCATAAATTTCTAATAGAATAAATTATAGCTATAAAAAAAGACTTGAAAAGCAACGAACTAACTTTTGAAAACTTAATTATGCTCTAAATATGCAAATACATAGATAGATTTTTATCTTCAAGAGAAAATTCTTTCTAAGCTTCTCGTTCAATCATTTAAGACAGTATAGATATTGGTTGATCAATCTCATTTGCGTTATTCTTGGTTAATCAAAAATCACTTGTTTGATAATGTACATTGAATAAGAGCAGATAGAAACAAAAATAATTTTATTATCGACGATGAGCACTTTTTAATAAATAAAAAACAAAATAGTGTACATCTTTCTCATACGAAAAGTCCCATAAATACTGATAACATGAAACCTAAAGAACTTATTGTATTCTCATCATATTGGTTACATTAATACATCCATCTGATATTTGTTACAAATTATTCGAATCTTTCGAAAATATTCAATTGTCAAATAGACTAGACTGTTCATTCCTCTATTTTCCTAAACACGTGTATTTATCTTTCACTATTCTCTCAAACGACCTCGATATATATATATATAGGCATTTTCTTTTTTTTCGTCCATCATAACAATTCGTATCTTATCTTCGATTTATGATTCTACAACTTGATGTATGAAAGTAAGTTTATATACAAACATCATTTAATTATTGTATCAATATATGATTTTGTTTTATAGATACCGATATTTCGACATCATCACCTTCTCGAATTGCATATCAATATGAAACAATTGCTTCACCCGTACGATCATTTTATGAAAATAGTACACAACAACCTACTTATATATCATTTGAATCAATTCCACATTCAATTTCAAAAGAAATCTCATTAACACCTCCATTTCAAAAGAAATTACCGATTATCCCAGTGGCTATTTTAGGTTTTTTAGAAATATTTGGTGGATTAATTGTTCTTGTACTTGAAATACTTGTTTTCGATATTGCTGTTGGACTTTGGTGTGGATTGATTTATGTACTTGCTGGACTGGCTACTATTGTACTTGGTTAGAGAATTTTAAAAAAGAAAATTTCATTTTTATATCTATTTCATTAGTGATTTGTACGGATCGCGAACGTCATCAAACATCAGCTGTTTTGATATTTCAAATTGTTGGTAATTACAAAAAAACAAAAATTGTTTTTGTATCGTTTAAACTAACTTATCTTATATTTTAGCATTAATGTTTACGATTACGGAAATTCTATTACATATTGATTTTTATCAAAAACGTTGTGTAACAAAACCAGACCAACCATCACGTGAAGCATCATATCAATGTCAAATTTTACTTAGTCAAATAGGTGGTGCGGCAATTGTTCTTATCAGTAGTCTTATATTTTCGATAATATATTTTCGAGTAACAATCATCGTACTTAAACAACCACATGGAACTTTTAATATATCGAATGCAATGAATTTAACTTGTTAAATTTTGATTTTGTTCTCTCATGTAAATATATCTATATGTATGTATGTGTGTGTGTACGAATTATCTAATTCAGAAAAAGAAAAATACTATATATGTTTCATAGAAATATAGTTTTTCGATTAAAAATTAAATCAACATTGAATATCTATTATTTTACTGATTTCTGTTTTCCCCATATTCAGCTATGTCTAAAATATAGCAATAGAGAAGGAATGATTCTTAATTATAGGACAAGTTGTTCTATTATCTGCTGGCAAACTACAGTCAGTACCCATAAAAATATAATAATCAGTATAAATTTCGATGAATTATCTAAATCAGAACAGTGACTTCTATTGTGTTCTATCGATTGTTGCAAGGGGGAAAAAGCGGATCCCGTCTATCCGGGATACGATCACAATCCATAGAATCCGTAGAATACAATGGGGATCCAGAGGATACAATGAGGATCTAGGGGATCCATTGGGGATACATAAGATCTATTGGGGATACGGAGAATCCAGAGGATCTATTGGGGTTACGGAGGATCCCGGGATCTCACAATCCGCTCTTTCCCCCTTGATTTTCGTTCTTCCAAAGCAACGGTACAATACCAGCGCAATTCACCCAAATATTGTATTCAGTGGATAAATATTATCTTCAGTATCAATATCCATAACAATAGTAATCTCTTTATTATTTTATGATTATTCAGTGAGAATATTTAACTCTATGTATACTATAAAACCATTCTATTATTGAATTGATAGAAAGTATTGAAAAATTTTATTAAAACAAAAGAAGATTCATTATTTTTTCGGAATAATTTATTGAGTATTTTCTTCACACGATTACCATCTATCAAAACAATATTTATCTAATGAGACTCTTTTAACCGATGAAATATATTTAATATTTTTATTATACATTACCGTATAATAAAAAGTCAAACAGGTTAATATTAATATTCAAATTCACTCTATATTGTTAGTTGTTAATATATATGGTTTTTCTTAGAATGTAATACAGATATATCTTTGTAATCTTATGTATCAAATTATTATTTATTTGATTTGAATTATTTACTTAATTCCGAAAAATATAATTGATTAAAGTCTATATCACATTATCTATTATTAGTTTTCATAAATTAACTGAAAAGAAAATCACATGATACACGTTATACTTTGAATAGATTTATCTATTACTATTGTTTCTTTCTTAATGATTAGCTTTTAATATAGAAGAATGCTCTAAGAAAAAAGCAGTGCTAAATTCATTTCTTCACGAAATTATATACTCAATATTCAAGATTTCGTATATGCTACTATAAAGTTGATCGTTACTCACAAGAATCCTATTGGCTATCAAATAGTTCTACTCTTCTTTAATATGAAATTGAATTTATTTGAGTTATTAAGTGAAATCAAATGGGATTAAAAGAAAAATTTGCTTAAGAATCAAAAGCTGCAATGCAGGGTTGAATAGCATATATTTATGTAACAATCAGAAAAAAAGATATTTAAAAATGGTTTGCTATAAGAAAAACATTCAACAAGCACCGGAAGGTTGATTAATTATGAACCATCTGTTCCAGTATTTGTATTGATATAGCCTTTCTTCACTGCATCACTTATCGTTAACGAGATTATTAATATTCACAGTTGCTTGTTCATTGATATTTGGCTTTAAGATTTTCATTTCTTCTTTCAATAATGTCATCGATTCTAAAAGTCAAAATATACATTTTATTGTTGTTTCTCCTCATAATAATAAAACTTCGTCTAAATACCTTTCGAATCTTGACTTAATTCATAATCTGATTGTGTTCTATTTCCATTTTTATTAGTATCTGGAAAAATACATAATGTCAATACCAATAAAATAATATTGAATATAATCATAGCAATAAATGAACTCATAGGAATTCTATCAATATGGTGTTCTAAACATATTGATATAGTTCCAGCTGTAAAACCAATGAGTTCTGTTAGAACCGTAAGAGAACTAAAACCAACAGCAGATCTCATTTG